CTTTCTTTCTTTCTTTCTTTCTTTCTTTCTTCCTTCCTTCCTTCCTTCCTTCCTTCCTTCCTTCCTTCCTTCTTTCTTTCCTTTCTTTCTTTTTCTTTCTCTCTCCTTTCTCTTTCTTCTCTCTCTCTCTCTCTCTCTCTCTCTCTTTCTTTCTTTCTTGTCTTTATTGGTTTCAGAGAGAGGCAGAGAGAGATAGAGATAGATAGAAACATCAATGATGGGAGAGTCATGGATCGGCTGCCTCCTGCACGCCCCCGACTGGGAATCAAGCCCGCAACCCCGGGCATGTGCCCTGACCGGGAATTGAACTGCGATCTCCTGGGTCCTGGGTCGACGCTCAACCGCTGAGCCACGCCGGACATGTATGCAGGGCCTTTCTTGTCACACTGCCTTTATTGACCTGAAGGGGTGGTCCATCTCCGCAGATTTTTCCACTCTCCCAGCCCTTCTGGAACTGGCTGTGCACCAGCTTGCCAAGGGGACAAGGACAGTGCAGGGCAGGCCGCTGCTGCCTGGAGGTGCTGGGAGCCAACCACAGTGGTGGCTCTGAGTGAGGTGGAAGCTCAGTCCTCCTGCCTGCTGCGCCTCCTGCCCCCCTCCTGTCCTGAGTACCTACCTGGGCAGGGCTGTGCTCTGCCAAGACCAGGAGGAAAAGCGCTAAGGAGAGACTTCATCGTTCTTTAAATTTTTAGCCAAGTAATCCCTGCACCGTGGTTCCCATGGTTAAAAAGATACATAGCCCTGGCCAGTGTGGCCAGTGGTTAGAGCGTTGGCCCGCAGACTGAAGGGTCCTGGGTTCGATTCCAGTCAAGGGCAAGTACCTGGGTTGCAGGCTTGATCCCTGGGCCCCTGTCATGGTGCGTGCGGGAGGCGGCCAATCAGTGTGTCTCTCTCACATGGATGTTTCTCTCTCTCCCTCTCTCTGAAAAAGCAGTGGGAAAAAACATCCTCAGGTGAGGATTTAAAAAAAAGATATATAGGATGAAACAGGAATGAGCATCGTCTCCAAGGACAGTCACCTGGAACTGAGCTGCGTGTCCGGGAGGCTCCTCCTGTGGGTAAGGGCGGGGTCGGCTCGTAGGGCTACTGCTGAGGAACTCATTCCCGACCGTCCCCACCCTCCCTAAGCAGTTAAAGTGCTCTCTCCACTCCTGTCTTACGGACTTCGTCATTTCCAGCCTACGACCATATTTCTTTCTTTTATCTTTTTTCGGGGGGAGGCTGTTAACTATACGTACAGTAGTGACTATAAAGCACAATCATTATGACGCACTCGCGTGACCACCGTCCCAGTGACGGAAGGAGAGTGCCGTCCTCACTTTTAAAGCTCCCCGTCCCCATGGAGCCACATACCCTAACTTTTGTGAGAATGGTCCTTTTCGTCTTTAGATGCGTCCCTCAGCGGCTAGATTTGCCATGAACAGAGCCACCCAGCAGGCACCGTCCCCACTCGCACCTTTCCTTCTACCTCGGCGAACAGATTCAAGCTGTCGTGTAGCTGTGGCCCCCGCGGGGCTGTCAGCCAGCTGTCGATGGCCGTCTGGGTGGTTTCCGTTTTCCGCTGTCACGGACACCCTAACCCCCCCTCCCGGCACGCGCGCAGGGTTTTTCCAGGGCACGGACACGGGCGTGGGATCCGCATCGTAAGAGCGGGCATGCTCCGTTTCACTGGATGCCAGTTTTCCAGCATGGCTGCGGCAAGGGACAGTCCCCAGCCTGAGGTCCTGATGTGACTGGCCAAGGTGGGGCCAGGCATTGGGAGCGTGCAGGCCCCCGGTGAGGCTGCACACAGAGGTTCCCACGCTCCATGTTGGAGCCCACCAGCTCTAGACAGTATGTCGACTCTAGTTTGAAGGAGGCCCCAGCATCCCTTTCCATTCTCCTCCCTCCAAACTTTTGTGATCTGAAGGAGGTAAGGGCTTTTCTTGGGCAGGGTCAGAGTGTAGGGGTTGGGTAAGAGGTTACAGGGCATGGATAGGAATTGGTGAAAATTCTGGGACAAAGACATTTGGGTGAATTCTTCCTTCAGGCAGGGTTGAGGGACTAGAAAACCCAAGGGCTGGGAGTTCCTCCTGGAGCCCAGTCCTTCCCTCCACAGTAGTATTGTGTGTCTGTCAGTCAGTTGTAGGCCAGAGAGAATGTCATTCAGATGTCTTAAGTTCTGAACACTGATGCCGCTCTGAACTGCTGAGGGTCTTTAGGGTCATATTTCTTTAAAGGGACTCCAACCACAGTTTGGGTTTCTCAACCCCGGCTGAGCTTAGCAACAGGAGAGCTTTGAATAAATACTGATGCCCCGGCCCCAGACCCATTACATCAGAATGTCTGGGGCGAGACCCAGGCACCACTAGGCTTCAGAAGCTGCCCAGGTGATTCTTAAATGCAGCCAGGGTAGAGAACCAGTAGTCAGGGGTCTCAAACTTTAACTAGCACCCATCAGAATCACCTGGAGGGTGTGCTAAACACATAGCTGTGCTCTGCTGGGCTCCCTGGCAGCTTCTGATTTTGTGGGTCTGGAATGAGGCCCCAGATTTGCATTTCCTACAGGTTCCCAGTGATGCAAACATTACAGGTCCCCCAGCCACACCTGGAAAGCCAGCCGGCACCTGCGGTTCCCTGCACACTGTCCCGTGGGGCCCAGAACAGCTGTGCGTGCCTCTCCCTAGCTCTGTGTCATGCCATCAGGCTGGTCACTGGCAAATGCTGCAGACCAGAACTGGGCCACCTCAGTCAGTTGCTAAACATTCACATCCCAAATGACATCATGATCAGCGAGGTGCTGAGAGAGCGCCAGCTGTGTGTGGTGTATCTGGCCTGTGAAGCACCATTAACTGTCATAATCAATAGGGTCTCCATTGTGATTGCCCATATGGCTTCCATATATGTGGCACAAAAAACGTGTGCACATTGAAAAAATGGTTAAACATTCCTGTGACCACAGGCTCCAAGCATTAAAAATGTTTCTGGTTTGAGTTATTAATACAATTATTAGTAGCTAAGTAAATACATTATACATTTTAATAATTATTATTATTTTTTAAATATATCTTTATTGATTTCAGAGAGAGGAAAGGAGAGGGAGAGAGAGATAGAAACATCAATGATGAGTCATTGATAGAGCCCGCAACCTGGGCATGTGCCCTGACCGGGAATCGAACCCCGATCGCCTGGATCCCAGGTCGACGCTCAACCGCTGAGCCACACCCAGCCGGGCATTTTGATAATTATTAAACAGAGGAGACTGGCAGATGCCATTTCAAATTCCTTGTTTGGCACCTGGGGATTTTTTACACACTGGGCAGTGCCAGGATGGGGAGTAGGGGAGGGGACCGACATAAACCCTGCGATTGCAAGTCCACACTTAGACGCTGAAGATCGACTTTCTTTGGGTAAACCGAGTCTGAGAACCCTTGGGTGGTTGTTGTGTAGCCTGAGTTGGAAGCTGCTGGGCTAGGCTGTGCTGAAAGCCCTCAGCCCACCTCCACCGGGAATTGGCCACACTGCATGGGATGTGTCCACCTCACCTTGGGCTTGGGTCTGGCCAGTGTGTGGCCAGGGAGGCCAGGACCAGGACTAAGAGATCAGCTCGACGGAACCCTCTGCCCTGCATGGTAGAAACCCCAACACCCTCTCTGCTCCACGTTGCTCTCCACAAAAAGCCGGAGCCAGGACCTGGCTTAGAATAACCCTCCAGGCACCAACATCTGGGCAGGCACCTGGACGCTGGAAGCAGAGACCTTAAAAACGAAGGTCTCTCCGAAAGGCCCCTCCCCCCACCCAGGAGACAGGGTTGCCATGGTTTGGGGGGAGGGACAGTCTAGTGCCACGCTGAGTTCAGCTCACTTTCCTGTTTGGCTGACTCAGGAAATCACCAGGATCACATTCTCGCCCAGGCCATGGAAGACTAGAAGAGATTCTCTTCTGACCTTGTATCCACCCCAGCGCTACCCTGAGTTTTTAATTTTGGGTGGGTGGGAGCAACAGTGAGTGGTGACGTCAGGGTTGAGGCCTGGAATCTGCCGTCTTCAGGAAAGCTTCCTTCCTTCAGTTCCCCCATCTGCGGAGGGCACTGGGACCTTCTGAACTGAACTAAGCAGGGCCTTGAACACGAGGCGAGGGTCCGCAGCTCCCGGGGCTGCCCGCGGGGACAGAACGCGGCAGCCTGTGGGTTTGGTACTCCGGCCTCTCCCATACGTCGCAGTCCTTGTTTCCAGTGACACGTCTGCAGCGTGCAGCCAGTCCTGACCCCCTCTCGTTCCTTCGCAGTGAAAAGCAAAATGGAGGAGCAGGAGCAGGGGCAGGAGGCCGCCGCGGCTCCGGCACCGTGACCGCTGTTGGACTCGTCTCTCCTGAGCCCAGCGACCCAGTTCAAGCAACATGCCCAAGCTCTGCTTCCTGATCGTCACGTCTTCCAAGACTAGGTTTGGTTTAACGACTAGAATACAGAATCTTTTCCACGTTTGTTGCAAAATCTCTAGTGCACATAGTTCCTACTCCACTAGCCCTAACTCTGCGCTGCCCGTTTTGCCTTCTCATCCGCACCTTGCTTCGTGCTTCGGGAGTTCGCCACCGACCGCCACCAAAATGCGCAACGAACTAGTTACAAGAGAGACCGTTCGTCCCGGTTGCCAGTTTCCCACTTTTGGCCACCCCTGCAAAGAGCCATATTTAAATTTAAGCCCCAACCCCTGCAGTGGGTTTTAAGTTGGTCTGGTGAACACTCGTCATAAAAAAGACATGGCCTGCGATCATTCCCAAAGGAGGCCGGCCCTTAACTTTTACAGCTCACCCAACAAGATGAGCCACTTAAACCCAGACAACAACGACAAACGTTGTCAGGCCCCCAAATATAGCAAGGTCCTCTTTTCATGGGCAAGCTGACCTATTACCCTCATTTGGTCTGTGGTTTACCGTTAACCAAGATTTTCCCATTCAAAGAGCCACAGACGTAGCCTTGTGGGTTGTACTGGGTTGTTGGACAAGCTACCACACATCTTAAGTAAATAGTAAAGCCTTTATTTTTGTGTTAAGAACAGCATTTTGAAAATAAAATCCATCTGCCGATGCTTTACAACCTTTTCAATTTGTAGTATTTACATACAGTCATGTTTAGTATGCATTGGTTGTCTTGAAATTTCTTTAATGGTTTTTTCTTATAAGTGTGCGACAGCCAGGGCAGGATGAAGGCACATTATAAAACACACATCAATACATTTAACAAATACATATTACCTGTCAAAAGTGAGCCATAGTTCTTTTCAGTTAATAAAAAGCACCCACTGAGAACGCCTGTGAGCTGGTATAATCACTGCATCATTGCACTATAAAAGCCACAATGCTCCCTTTCAGCTTGGGGTTCAACTCAGCGTTGGCCAGCCTGGGAGACCATCCTACGTGGATGCTGTCCAGTGTCCCCGAGGGAGTCGGTGCCGGAAGCACTGGCACCCAGCTTTCAACCATAGAACCTGAGACCCTGGGGACACACGCAGCTTCCCAACTTGCCTGCCAGTTCTCCAATCTGCCCGCCCCCCCATCTCCAGTGGAGAAACCGAGCATATAATCACCATTTTCCATGAAGGGGGAGACAAGAGTGGCTGTTATAGTCCCAGGGTGGTTTTAATAAGCGGACATGGCAAGGTTTGTGCTTACAATTAGGTATTTTTATCACAGTCGCTCCCCTTCCAGATCATCTTCCCCAGCAAGGCTCCTTGACATAAACAGATCTTAAACAGAGGTGCCATTTAATTTTGTATTTAAACTTTCTTCTGTGGGGGCAGTTGGCTGCCAGTCTGTTGGCAAAGATGTCTCTTTGTACCCTTCTGGTGAATCGTTAGAAAAATAACAGTTCTCTGCGCTCTCCCTTCACTCCCCAGCTCCGCTCCCAGCGGGAGGGCATTCAGCCCACTCTCGATCTTAGAGCCAAAATAAAACGAAACCCAGAGCACAATAAATATCAGATGTTTAAGAAGAAAAGGAAGAAAAAAGGTCTCATTACGGGAGGCTCCCCGTGACACGAAGCTGGTTCCACGTGTGTGGTGGTGAAAGGCTATATTCCCCCGCAGCCGTGGATGTGAGCGCACCCCACGTGCCCGGGCCACCAGGAACCTAGACAATGGTGGTGAATTACTCTCTTCTGCAAGGAGCTCTTGCAGACCAAGTCACAGATGGGATCAGGGAGCTCCGAAGGACTCCAGGGATCGGGGGTGAGCGACCGTTTCCTGGCACAAGAATGTGTAATGCAGTCCGTTCTCACTGGCCTGGACACGGGTGTTCGAAGATTTTTATGTTTTGAGAATTCTGGGTCTGCATGCAACTGCCTCCACCCCCACCCAGGCGCTGACTTCTTTCCCTCCCACCCCAAGTTCCAGTGCACCCGCTGACGCTCCTGTCGCAGAGGCCTGGGCCTAGGTCTTCTAGAAGCAGGCGCGTGCTCTGGGCAGGGCAGGCGGCACCCCGCTGCCATGCTCCCCCTCCCCATGCGTGGTGACGAGAAATGAGCTAGCAGGACAGAAAACCAGAAGGAGGGCCACACAGGGCTGGCCGGTGGCCTGGTTACCCCAGTGCTCTGCAAGGGTGGGGCGGGCGGGCGAGGACAGGACACAGCAGAGACTAGGCCTCGAGAAAAGTCAGAAGGTTTATTAAACATACTCAGCTCGGACACATTGGCTTATGAAGAGGTCAGCTCCCCCTCACCAAACACTAACCCTTCTCGTTTTCTGTAAAAGGTTAAAGGCCTGTGGGTTTTATAGAAAAAAGCGTATAGTGATTCGAGTGTGTGCAGACGGCCCCGCCCTCCTTGTGCAGGCCACGCTGCCGGGGGGCCCCGCTTCCACTCGGCAGGGACTACGCTGGCCAAGCAGTGCAGAAAAGGCGCGGGCGAGCCGGCGGAGATGCCAAAGAACCGAGGAATGACTGGCTGAGCACAGATGGAAACCATGGCGGAACAATGGGCTTGGAAGGGTCAAACCATTCTCATGGAACTTGCAGGAAAAACACCAGGTCAAAAATGTATCCCACTCCCTCTAAACGCAGCAAGAAAGCCCCAGAACGTCATGACATCAACGTTAAAGCCCAAGAACTCACTGCACGCTGGGCAGCAGCGCCCTCCATCCTGGGGGCACCAGGCCTGCCCTGTGTGTGCCCCATCTGGGACCTGCGCAGGCGCCTGCCAACCCGGGGCCTTTGGGCTGGGGGCCCATGTGAGCCTTTGAAATGAGTGGGGATGAAACTGGGAGAGGGCTCGGAGGGAGATGACCGAGGGAAGACACTGCTACCCCAAGCCGGAGTGTTGCTATGGCAACACCAGGGAAGGAACCGGCCTGACTTCCTGCCATAGACACTAGTTCACAGGCCCGTAGAAGGAACAGTGGTTGGTCACCACTTTCTAAATGTGATGGTCACTTCAACTCCCAGACAGCACCTCCTCTTTGGCACAGGAGAGCATCCCTCCGCCGCTACTGGTTGGAAAGCTCACCCCATGATTCAATTGGGCCTCTCCTTGGAATCACACCCACAACCTCCTGACCCCTGTGAAATGTGCAGGCAGGAGGAAGAGCCCCCCGGGGTCCCCCTCAAGGCAACAGTCATCTCCAAGAGGCCTGGGGCCTGAGGAGGGCGATGCTATGGGGCGTGGGCACCTCCACGTTCAACCACAGCAGCCCGGCACACCGGCTGGGAACGTGGTTCTGCTCTACCCTCCGAGGGTGAAACAGTCTTCCTGGCCGTGTTCCGAGTGAGCCTAACACTATTTGCAATTAGCTTTGCTCTAGTTTTGGGGGACTGAGGTTGGTTTGGTACTGTGCGTGTGTGCGCGCCCGCGTGTGCGTGCGTGCGTGGAGCAGGGAGGGCAGTCGGTGTTAGCTTTTCAGGTCAGCAGTGTTCACATTTATACAAAATCCCCTCGTCTAGGATTTCCAAATCTCCTGGCTGTGAGGTGGCCTTGTTCGGCTACTGTTACTGATTTCTCCCTCAAGAAAGACAGCCAGGAAATAAAATCGGTAAGAGTTCTCTGGATCTTTTAGTCTTTCACCAGAGGTGTCTTCCAGTGTAACTTGGTGGAGCAGTTGGGATCTGGAAACAAGGATAACACACTAAGAACTCTGCTGTGCAAAGTCAACATCAGAACCGACGTGCTAACGACCTGCCAAAGATCAGTGCCTGGCCTTTTCGTAGGGCCGGGGCTCCTGGGAGAAGCTGCCATCCATTCTCGGGAAGCCCACCTCCCTTTCTCAGGGACCATGCACCCCAAATGCTTCCTTACCCAGAAACCCACTTCACTTTCTAAGTCCAGGATGTTTTTGTCTTGAAGGGACCAGGAGGGCTTAAAAGAGTGACCACAGGGGCCACTTTCTAACCACATTAATTATAATGCAGGCAAATGCCTGAGTTAGGCTTCTCTTGGACCCAACGATGAGACAGTCCGACGGACGGCAGGGGCCGCAGAATGCAAATCTGTGCGTCTCTTTGTCTTTGAGCCTGTTCCAAGCCCACGCAGACCAATGCCTGACAGAGCATTCATAAGGCCAGGAAAACCCCAGTTCCCGCTAGAGATCAAAGACCATCCCTGACTCACATCAGAAACAAAAGCAGCTCAGGCCGAGCAATGGACTTGGCACATGACAGAAAGAATGGAAACCCAGTTTACACGTGTAAACTGGCCCACGCGCTGCTCGGAAAGAAGCGCGGAGCTGTGTTGGGAAATTAAATGTGGGAATGAGTGCAGCTTTGGATCGCTGGAGAAGCAGAATGATGTCATTCACGCAGGCAAAACATACACAGTGACGATTCTGCTGAAGGTCTGTTTGGCATCAGCTAGTAACCCTGCTTTTGTGTCCATGGGAGAGAAATATAATTACTTTAGTTTCTCAAGACAATTCTTAGGGAGTGTGAGTGGGGCAACCGGGTACCCGGCCGGGGCACAGAGACAGAGGGAGTATTAAAAAGGACCTAACTAGGTTGGATGTCAGCAAAATCCACCAGGGTTTCATAATTCTGGGCTTTTCTTCAGTGACTTCCCAGGGAGAGTGGGGTACCTTCTGCATAATGAAACCCGAGAATTCACTGGGTACAAGAGCCCCAAGAAACAGGGAGCCTTGCAAAAGAACCTACAGGTGGTGCACTAGGTGTGGGTGGATGTGCGTGTGGAAAAGGGGGCAGAAGAAAAATGGAAGCCTGGCATGCACTCTACTGCGGGCGTCTACTTGAGCCACTGTCCTTGCAGGCCCGTCAGCAGCCTCTGCAGAGCAGTGTGCCCCCTTTG